CCCATTAATGTCTCCAAGCACGAATTTGAGGGCAAGATGCCATGCAAGGGCGTAGAAGGGATTCTCTTGCTCCTCCACACTCGTGTGTTGGTCTTCAAAGTTGCTTTCGGGAAGGGGAAGATGATGGGAGTCGTCAATGCAACCTTCTTGTTCCTCCTCACCACGGGAGCTCTCCGGTGTGAGTTCGTCTTGCTCCACACGGTTGTCATTGATCGATCCTTTAACCTCCTCTTTCTCCTCCAACGATGAAAGGTGATAGCTTGCACAAGCTCGTGCCACCTTCTCTTCTAGTGTCAAGCCAGGAGGAGGGAGGGGTCGGAAATCCATGTTGGAGCTCGTTCTTCCAAAATTCTCATGGCTGGCCTCTTCGACTTCCTCTCTTTCTTCCAATGGTAGGAGGCAATTGTGAGCAAGTTGTGCACATGCTTTCTATACAAGCCCTCCTAGCCTCTCTGTGCGTCGAAGGAGCTCCTCTGATTCCCGAAGAAAGGCTGAGTAGAGACGGTTGGAAAATGGGAGGTCCATGCTAGAGCACCCTTCATTGGTGCCCCGGGAAAATCGCTCCATGAACTCCAATGCCAGGCCGTGAACTGCACCTGATTCTTAGACGCCTGCTATTCACTGTTACGGGCTTTTCTTCGGTCTTTTTGTGCTTTTCGACCTCCAATCGTCCCAAAACTCGTCCTCGACCTTTTCACGCATGCTAGGACCTGAAATGTATCAATACAAGCACAACCTAGCATGAAATATGTCGAGATACGATGAAATGAAAAGCCAAACTATCAAGATATGAGGGGAAAAAATGTGTACAATGGGACCCGAATCACACTGGCTTTGATGTTTTGTTTCTCTCTCATTCGGACTCCGAATAAGATGTTGTTTGATAGCAGATGCTCGTTGTCTGGTCCTATTTATTTTCTTGACAAACTTACATGATTATTTGTCCATAAAATGAGGTTGAGATCCATTCTTCCACAGGTCATGCCCAAGTTTCTCCCTCCCCCCCCCCCCCTCCAGTTGGCAATTGATCTCCGATTGACTTGAAACTTGCTTCTATACTTCACTTTACGTGCTAGGACCTGAAATGTGACAAAAGAACACAACCTAGCATAAAATAGGACAAATTATGATAAGATCCAAGCTAAAAAATCAAGAAATTAGGAGTAAAACATGTGTAGTTATGTGGTCATCAAATTCTCCCACACTTGATATCAAAACATCAACAACATGCCCACATCAACAACAACTTCAACAACCACCACAGATGACATTTGAGTGAAGCAAAATCGGTTAGAGAAAGAGTCTCCTCTATGTTCACCAACCAAGATAGACTCGACTCAACCAATCATTCAAAACACTCACCTATGTATAGAAATCAAGACATCAGAATAGAGACCAAGCCATCTAGGTCCTCACTGGGGTATAGAATATGGAAAAATGAATCACTCACACTCGACCAGTGAGGTTAGGTTAAAATTTGATGCAAAATACTTGCATACTCGTAATCTCAATACCTATAATCTCTTGACCATGATGGCAACCTCTAAATGCTAGAGTTCACATATTGACTGTCGCCACAAACTTGTCCGGAGGACTTGACCGAGTTCAAATGCAACTGACTAGGGTCTAGGACATGGGGAACGATTTTTAGGTGGTGCTAATATTCATGACACAAGGTTCCACAGTTCCAAACCCAACACAGTAACATTCAAATTAACTAATTTCTTTCTCTGCTATTCTGCATTGATCTCTTTGTTTAAGGCACATGAGTGAAAAATGTAATAATGGAATAGTGTCTCCAAGCCAGCCCACACAGAAACACTCACTTAAATGAGCACAATTAAATCTTTCAGGCAGTTCTCTTCTCCACTTTTTTCATTTATCTCCTTCTTTTCTTTTTGAGAACCACAAAATTTTGCCACATTCTTCATCTTTTTAAGCACATGCCCAAATTTTAAGAACTACCTCAAATACTCACTTTTGTTTCTAGCAGAAAACATGCAAAAACCACTATGTGGATCCTCTAAGAGATGTATAAGGGTGATTTTTTAGTGCAGACATAACGAAAGAAGGCTACATGGATCAAAGGGGCTGAATAAGAGGTTTGACACACCAGGACAATAAATTTGGCTATGGGCTAATCCTATGCCTTCATCTTCCTAATTAGTGGCAACGTGAATGCTACACATCATGGTAAGAGGGATCTATCGGACAAGAAGGAAACGAGCAGGCTCAAATCTCACATGGCTGCCTATATGCTCTATCTCTCATTCTAATCCCTTAACCTTTATGCATAAACGACTGTAAGAAATAAGTGATCAAATCAAGTCACAATTAGTAATCAAACATTTGAAACTGAACCCCTACACAACTCCACAGCATGTCCCATTCATCATTATAGGTTGTCTCAATCAAAAACAAGTCATTCATATATCAATGCTATCAGCCCATACAAAACCAAAGTGCCAATATGATAATGCAAATATCCGTACTTAGAGCCAACATATCTCAAGATTTGGAACGTGGACTAGGCTCCAAGACAAGCAAAGCACATCATTCATCACACACATACAAAATGGTACATCCCCCTACACTTAAGCACGACATTATACTCAATGGAGGAAAGATAGGAAGGGTAAAATGAAGTTACCGAATTGCATGTGAATGATGGTGGACGGGGCAGGCGGTGTATTACAGGAGGGGAGAGTAATCGGAACACAAACACCAGAAAAATCTCACAAAGGCTGAGTTATTAACTAATGACTCAACCAAAATAAGGAAAGAAATACAGACCGACTGGTTGAGTTGCCTCCCAAAAGTGCTTCTTTCACATCGTGAGCGGTATAGTGGCTCCTAAGCTTCAGTCCACCTCAAAACCTCATTGAAGTTGAGCTTCTTGTCAATGAGTTGGAGTCTCAAGTCACAAGCATGTGGTGTATTAGGTGATGTAGGTTCGTGCACTTGATGCAGATGAAGTCTCCACCCTCGAGACCTCTTATTCTTTTCTTTTCTCGTGCCATTTCCCCAAACCAGATATGACAACATAGATTGAGCACCATCGTGTCCACCATGAGGGACCGATGTCGATGTGGTCTTGGTCTAGCAAAGAGACACTGCTAACGGGTCCCTACAAAGAAGCTCCTCAAAGTTTGGTGGAGATATCACATGTAACTCATGCCCGATGCAAACCTCTTCCACCTCAACTTTGTCCTCAACCTGAATGCCAATTGCTTCCTCAACCCCCCTTACTTCTTTCAAATGTGGTTCCTCCCCTTGGAAAATATCAAGAAACTCCTCATCATGGCTTTCTTCCCAATCCTCCACAATATCTTTCCTCACCCTTTCTTGCTTTTCTTCTTCCAGAACTGGTTGGAGAGCAAGTCGACATTCAAGGTTCTCAATAAGTTCAGCTTGCATCTCCTCACTCATGTTTGTCTCTTCAAATCTTCAGGTGTAGTGGGGAAAGGTGGGGTCGGCTACAACATGACATTCATGGTCATGGTCATCACGGGAGCTCTTCGTGAAAACTTCTGTATGATCCACAATTTTCTTGTAGTAGTCTTCTTCTTCTTCTTCTTGTATGGTAGCATTAAGACAATCTTGAACAAGCTATGCACAAGCTTTCTCAACTGGGTTAATTCATTGGTCGTTGAGTACAAGATGAAGCAACTGGGGGATTCTAACACGTCGTTATTGATTCTTCAAAGCAAATAAGGAAAATCGTTATTGATTCTATGAAGCAGGTTAAAGATGAAGAGATTACAAAAAATTAAGCAGTCTCCTTCTATTAATCCCTTTATGGCATAACAAATAACGAAGTACACCACTGTAGGTAATTGATTAAAGACTAAATTATAGGGAGAGTAAATTCAGAAAGAAGGCAAGCTCTTTGTACAGAGGTAAATGATCAGGACATTAAAGATGCACTATTTTGTATGGGTCCCACTAATGCTCCAGGAGCAGAGGTTCTATTTGCTAGCTTTCTTCAGTAGAGTTGGGGGGTAACTGGTGGTGATATTTGTGCTGGAATCAAAGATTTTTTCCGAACAAAGCAGATGTCCCGAGAGATAAATGTGGCTTATAGAATAATAGCTTGTATTAATAATCTTTAAGAGATCATCTCTAAAATTCTAGCAAATAACATTCAGAGCTTCTTACCTGACATTATTAGTCGTAATCAATAAGTCTTTTTGAAAGGTCGAAGATAATGGATAATATTTTGATGGCACATGAAATTTTTAAAAATTAGAATAAGAAAATGATTGCATCAAGAAGTGTCCTAAAGTTTGATTTGCAAAAGGCTTTCGATTTGGTGGATTGGAATTATATTAAGTTGGTTCTTAATGAAATGGGGTTTTCTATGCTTTTCACTGACTAGATATTGGAGTGTCTACAATATGCTTTTTTAGTATTCATTTATATGGCTCACTCTTTGGATTCTTTGCTGCTAAGAGAGTAGTGAGACGAGGAGGCCCCTAGTCTTCTTATATTTTTGGTTTAATTCACTTGCATAGCCATAATTTTCACGATTTTGACAAATATAGCCACTTTTTGAAAAATACACAGATATAGCCACTTTTTTGAAACTTGATTGTCAACTTTAGCCATTTTCGTTACAAGTTATAACATCGTCATAGACGCCGTCAATAACATCTACGTGTCGCTGAGGTGGATGCCACTTGCATGACACGTCATCACCAACTAGACATATTCAAGCCACCTAGACGCCATGTCATACGCCACATCATATTAAAAGTAGATTTTTAAACAAAAAATAACTAATTTTACTAAAAAAATTAAAATAAAACATTTTATAAGAAATAAATTATATTATTTTTATTTTCTCTCTCTCTCTCTATTCATTCATCCCTTCCCACTGCGCTGCTTGTCTTCCCAAATTCCCCTCCCCCTTCTTCACCAGATCCAAATTCATGATTCCTCCCTTCAAACCCTCTCTCTTTCCCCATCAATTATCCTGGGCTATTTCACACTAGTAGCAGCAGGATTGAAATATCCTAGGCTCCTCCGCTACCGATGCTGTCGAATCCTGGCCATGAATGAGAACGACCCTGCTCGCTCAGGATCGTCAAAGCAGCCACCCCTCCCTGCGCACCCACAGCTCCGTCGCCGACCCGAAGTGCAGATCTGGAGACAGGCTCCCCCTCACTGCAAGTCGCCACTCCTTCCCGCCAGCCTGCCACTATAATAAAGAACCTAGTTTCCCGATAAAACCCAGAACCAGCGACATTGGAATCTCAACGAACAAAAAATCGATGCTGGTGTGGGGATGTTGTGGAACCCAGAAACCTAGAACCCACCAAGCTTCACCGCAACCCAAAGTCCAAAAACTCAAACCCTCCAAGCTCAACGTATTCCCTCCTTCACTCCTCCCTCCCACCGCCGGCGCCACAGACCTCTCTCTCCCTATTAAATGGGATTCTCTTTCTTGTAATATTGGCCGGATTGAAGCACCCCAGCCCTCGTCGTCTCGATCCTTGTCGTCACGGAACGCAGTTCGCCTGCGTCGAGTCCTCTGGCTCGCTTGCTTCTGGTCGGCGACGGAGCTGGTGGATGCGGCTGAAGAATTGGCAGCAAAGAGAGAAGAAGATGAAGGGGAAGAAGTCTACAGAGCTGCAATGGAGCTATTGATGGTGAAAATTCAAACGATTTGGGATTTTCAAGGCGATCTGGTTTCTTGAATCAATTCAGGGGGGGAGCTTGAAGACACAGCAGAATAGAGGTGGGAGGTTGAGATTGCGAGGAAGAGGAAAAGCATAAGCGGCGGAAGGGAATAGTAGTTTTTAGAAATTTTCAATTAATTAAAAAAGAATAATTTACATCTAGGCATAGTTTTTTTTATGAACAATCGCCATGTCAGCAAAAATCGTTAGTACAGTCATCATTTATTACTATTCCGTTAAAGGTATAGACGGAATGACTATATCTGTGTATTTTTCAAAAAATGGCTATATTTGTCAAAATCGTGAAGTTATGGCTACGCAGGTGAATTAAACCTATATTTTTACCATTGCTATAGAACCTCTTTCTGGATAGCTTGATAAGGCTACACAGATCATGTAAATTCCATACCTCCCGCAATGCAAAGCAATAGGTCGACGACATTCTTATTTTCACTGAAGGTTCTACTACAATATTAATGGGAGTCAAAGTCATTCTAGAATAGTTGTATACACTTTTGTGGCTAAAATGTAATCCCAAGAATAGTTTTATACACTTTCTAGATAGCTTGAATCATGCTACACCACTACCGATGGGCTCCGCTATATAAATTTTAACTTTCTAGTGTCATAAAACTATACTTGAATGTCACAAAATTATCAAATAGTCTTACACATAACGCATATGAAATTTTACAATGAAATTCCATAGGAAGAAAAGCAAATGGAAAACCAAAACAAAAATAAAACTGGGGAAAGAGGAAGAGTGTCTGAGATTCTTGAAGACATGAAAAAGAATAGTGTCATAAGGCTATCTATCTTGTTCTCCTTTGGAAGATAGAAGACATAGCTATCTATCGTCGTTAAAATATAATATATTAATGAAAAATGGAAATATAAAACAAAGCAGCAATATATTTAAATAATTCCTTTACCACTTATATTTCCAAAATTCCGAATATTAATTAATTTCACAAAACTAGAGATGCTGACTTCTTTTCTTTTGGTCTCTTCCTCCGGTTTTATCAATTCTGCCAAACAAATTCCAGCACCTGCATCCCCTCTAATATAACGACAAACTAGCCTTCCTTATTTCTATAATCAAAGTTCATCAATTGATTTTCTATTATATATTTTTAATTGTGATTTTTTATTTTGAATCTGCATTTTTCTTTCTTGTTTAACACAACCCAATGACTGTAGTCTGTAAGGGTATGGATCTGGTTACGAATAATGTACCACATTTTCCTTGATAAATTTCATCGCAATATTTGTTTTAATTTGAAATTCAAATTTTTTTTGAGAAAAACTAAATTGATTATACTTTTTAAAATGAAATCCACTTAACTTCTATATTGCCTATGTTCGACCCGAGTTTTAGAAGTGCTTTTCGATTTGAAAAGCTGAAGCAAGGTCAAATATCTCTAAAATCTCAGCTTTTGAAAAGCTGAAAAGTGATTTTGTATAACATAAAAGCACAAGATCTGATTTGGAGTTTCTGCGAAAAGTTATTTTGAAAATACAAAATTATCCTTGCCATATTTTAATTTTATTTTAGAAAATTAATTTTCTCTCATTAACATCAATTAAAAATAGCATAAATTATAAAATCATATTATTTAATATAAAATAATTCTAACAAGATCCATATTGACTACTTTTGATTGTTTAAAATTTGTATTTGTGTTTTATATTAGAAATCGTTTATAGTCATTTTACCTAAAGCTCAAATCAGAAGTTGCTTTTGGAAAAGTTACAGCAGGATCAAACTAGCCCATTATTTTGAAACAAAAAAATTTGAAGTAAATATTATTATCAATACTATGGTCGTAATTTTTAGTAGTATATAAAGTTATATGATGCTGGTATGTAAGTGTACAGTGACAGTACATATAAATATATCATGTCATAGAATGATTATAGGAATATACTAACCACCTCCTTCCACCTTGCACCACCATCTACCATCATTTACCATTCTACACCAAAGCTGTAAAATGTAGTACATTGTTCTTTCAAAAACATTTCCATAAATTTTGTAGATCACAATATATCACAATGAATTTGTTTCTTCTATGCACAAAATTTCAAAATGTGAGTTGAAAAATGAAAGTGTTTCCATGTATATAGTATTTGGATGGTAATGGGTGGTACATATTCTTTTCATCATCGAAATAAATAAAAAAATGAATGTCATTTTTGTAAATAACAGTAAACGCCTTCCATCCATGCAAACATTATCAAAATTTGGGTATAACAAAGAAGATAAAGTCGATTAAAAAATTGTGAAAATAAAATGTCTTTCAAAGATTTGGCCCTACTCAAATTTAAAGGGACGGATTTTGTTATGCACAAATACATGACGAATAAGTATGCAGCCTACCCTCCGCAGTATATGTGTACCTTGAAAATGTTTTCCATAAATAAAAACGAAGTTATTTGGAACACTGACGATCTTCATATTTTAGGGCCATAAGCTTCACAAATTTGTTGAAAACCAGTTAGTTTTATTATCAATTACAACAGAGGACTTTTTCTCCATTTGTTTTCATGAAATGGATGGGAAAATCATACTCCCTAAAAACAAAAATGCGAAATTAAAGAAGACTATTTGAGTGCAAATAATTGAACTCGTGAAGCAAAACAAGGAGTAGTAGTGCTATATATAGAAGTGGAGTCATTTCTTCTGTATTTGAGTTGCTAGGCCAGTTACTTGGCGGTTATTTTCGTTGAAGGCTGTATGCCATGCACACTCTAAAATACCAATGGTAAAAAACATGACGTCAGGAGCAATGATTAAGATTACAAGATGTGTAATTATGCGGCTAGTAAATTTGTTGGACTTGATACTTTTTAGCTAAAGGATTATCGACGACTATAATTAGTTACTACATATGCTTCTAAAATATATTAAAAAGAGACACAAATTAGTAGTTCCTCTTGTCAAAAAAAAAAAAAAAAGTAGTTCCTGAGAATATCTACTATTCTACTTGTTAATCTGACGCGGAACTTGGTTAGCTAGGGTTTTATGCAAACGCAAGAAGATATTTTAGGTGAGGATTATTGGCTGTGGGAGAGGTCAAGAGAGTTCTCTGTACACATTAGAAGACCCATAAATAAAATTTATTTTGAAGATAAATAGTTAATGTACAATTATTATTTCAAGTGATTAAATGGAAAACAATAACAGGTAGGAGAGGGGAGACGTTGAAATGACAATGACATGGATAGGGAAGAAAACAAAGGGTGATTTTGACAAGGGATTGTTTGTCGTGAGTGGTATATATAATACAGGTATGTGAAGCCAAAGAAGAGCAGGTCCAAACTGGCTAATTCCTGCCCTCCCTCCTCCAACTAAGCCAAAGAAAACCCAGAGAAAGGAAAGTAGGAACAGACAGCTTTTTTCTCTTGAACGATAGAAACAAACAAGTCCCACCTTTTTCTCTGTTTCCCGGAAACAACGACGACAGACATGTCCAACTTGTCAGGTGAAGAAGGCAGCTTCTCCTCTGGAAACACCGGAGATCACTTCCAAGCTTCCAATACCAATAATGCTACTTCTGGGCAGCCGCCGGCTAAGAAGAAGCGCAATCTGCCAGGCACTCCAGGCAAGCCTCATACATACATAGCTGTAGTCTGTAGATAGAGATCCAGTACTGATCCATGATACATATTTAATTTTAGGGTTTTATATATTAATAATATCTGATGTGCAGATCCTAGCGCGGAGGTGGTGGCGTTGTCGCCGACGACGCTTATGGCAACGAACCGATTTGTGTGCGAGATATGTAACAAAGGGTTCCAAAGAGACCAGAACCTGCAGCTGCACAGGAGAGGCCATAACCTGCCGTGGAAGCTGAAGCAGAGGAGCACAACCGAGGTGAGGAAGCGGGTCTACATCTGCCCCGAGTCCAGCTGCGTCCACCACAACCCGGCCAGAGCGCTCGGGGATCTGACCGGGATCAAGAAGCACTTTAGCCGCAAGCATGGGGAGAAGAAATGGAAATGTGACAAGTGCTCTAAGAAGTACGCTGTCCAGTCCGACTGGAAGGCCCATCACAAGACTTGTGGCACCAGGGAGTACAAGTGTGACTGCGGCACCATCTTCTCCAGGTACATCATTCATATCACACACACACGCGGTCGATCAATTAATACTTCATAACTATTTGACTTGTAAACACAACTCCAATGGTTGGTTTAGCCTACCCTAGCCTAGCCTAGTGGGTAATGTAAGAATTAGAAGATCCACAACGCCATCGATTTTATTCAACCTCTAATTAAAACAAAAACAAAAAAATTTGTCAACATCCATTTGTGGGCACTACAACAAACACCACATTTTTGCGATGGAAATCTTTGTTGCAAAGGCCCAGAATTACTCAGCCAAAGGTTTTGGCGACGATTTCCTCCATTGCCATGGACAATTGTTATTTGTGGTGTATTCCGCGTCGCGTTAGGGGTTTTACAACGAAAAAGGCGGTTATTTCTACCTTCTGAATAGATGATCAATATACATGATTTAACCGATACCGCTAGCCAACTGCTATGAAACTATCAAAATGTGTCACTGGATATAATTTCCCCACCAAGTACTACAACTAATGATAATACCATTTCTACGTGTCGTATATGTGAAGTAATCACTAAATAATCGATTGGGTTCTAATTATCACATGCAATGCAGGAGAGATAGTTTCATCACTCACAGAGCATTCTGTGATGCACTAGCTGAAGAGAACAACAAAGTAAACCAAGGGATGATGACCCATACCCAGCAGATGCCCGATCTGATGCCCACATCCAACTTCGCTGCTGACTACACCAATCATTTCGACCCCAAAAAGTCCCTCCCGCAACCGCAAGACCTCACCCCCATGCCCTTCAAGCCCATGAACGTCGGTGGGATGTTCTCCACCACCGCGGGGACTCTGTTCGGTGGGCCCCGCAATATGTCCTCCTCCACCTCATCCGCTACCCTCCACCTCAGCTCCAACGCTGCCGGCGCCTCCTCCTCCTCCTCCTCGGGTTTCGGTTATCTCCAGGACGGCAGCGGGAAAGGCGGGCCACAGATCCCGGGCTCGGCCCACATGTCAGCAACAGCCCTTCTCCAGAAAGCGGCCCAAATGGGGGCCACCACCAGCAACTCCCCAATGATGCACAAGGGCTTTGCCGGCAGCATGACTACTGGTGGGGCCCAACACCAGATGGCATCTATTCGTCCACAACAGTCGCAACCAATGCCATCCTACAGTGGCATTCAACAACTCTGTCACCCCAATTCATACGATCATCAGTTCTCCTCGCAACCCGATCACCAGACCAACATGGCTGGACTCAGCGGCGGCGGCGGATCGCCCACCGCGTTCATGCAGAAAACATCGCAGGAGATGTCGCAGTTGTTCGATGCGGCAACTGGCGGCTCTTCCATCAATGACATGGGGATGTTTGCCAGCATCTTTATGGCGGGAGATCACCACAGCCCTGCGCCAGCCGTGGGTTTCTCAAAGAGCTTGGGGCTTGACCAAGATAATGTCAGCGGCGGTGGAGATGGCTCTACTGCTGCTGGTGGTGTGACAAATAATCGAATGATGATGAGCGGTGGTTCTAGATTCGGGAGCGAATTAGCAAGTGACGTAATGACCCGTGATTTTATGGGGGTTGGAGGGTCTACACCTGCCAACTTGCAAGAGCAACAACAACAAAGATTAGAGATAGAGGCGTTGAGTCAACAACAGCAGCAGCAGCAACAACAACAACAGCAAAGGATGGCGCCAACACTGAATAACTACCAACAACAGCTCTCGTTAGGAGAAGCTGGATTGGATAAGCCCATTTGGGATGTCTAATCCTAAATCTTGATCAACGATACTAGTAAAAGCTAGCCTGCTCCCTTTAACAGAAAAAAGGTGTGCTCTCGTATTTGGTAATTGTATGTGGAGTAGAGGGTTAGCCTGTGAGATTCAATGGACCAATATGTACAAGCCTAAACGAGACTGCTCCCAAGGTTGATGCAATTGTCGAGTACATGTGCTGCAACAAATAAATTCTCACTACAAATATGTACAAGCCTAAACGAGACTGCTCCCAAGGTTGATGCAATTGTCGAGTACATGTGCTGCAACAAATAAATTCTCACTACAGGAAAACTGGTTTCTAATCAGGGGAACTTATTCATAGGAATGATTATTACAGAGTGCACTAATAGTCACAGAAAAATTTACCGTGATTAATTGCATCATTTTAGTCACATGAATTAATCTATTTATTACACCATTTTCATCTCCCGTGACTAATGATTAATCACGGTTAATTACCGTGAACAATGTGTTATTTATTACCTTTAACAAAAAAAATCACTAAGTTTTAAGAGAAAAATCTAAAAAATTAAACATGTTTAGTTTTGGCTCCAAATACCCCAAACAAAGAAAGTTCCCCCTTTTTTCAAAAAAAATTTGCCTTCCCCTCATTTTACCCCATCGGAGAAAATTTCTCCTGCCCTTTATTTCCAAAAAATTAGACTTCTGATTCGGACTTATTGTACACTTTTTACCCCCGGTTTCCTGAGTCGTTTGAGGCATTTTTACTCCGCGAGGTTTGGTTTTACACTTGGTTCTGTCTCGTTTTTGTGCATTTCAGTCTATAGCAGGTGGAACCAAACCTGGAGTCGAAATTTGGACGTAAAAGGCGCAAAATCGGGTCAAAGGATGGAGGTAGTAGCAGATCACGGTGGAAGCGGTGAGTTCACGATCAGGGAGACCATGAACTGAAGCCACAAACAGTGAACCGCCAGGAGTCCAGAGCCATTTTGGTTCTCACTGGACTCAAGCCAGTTCACGGTCGTAAGATCGTGAACCCAAGCTAGAGACTGTGAACTGAGATAGAGATGCGGCGCGTTTTGGCCCGAGATCACGATCCCCGCCTTGAGTTCACGGTCGTGAACTGGGACCGTGATTTGAGCCCGACCTACGTATAAAAGGGGTTTGAGCTGAAGGAAAAGAGGAGCAGACCTTGAATGAGAAAACCTTCTTCTTCAGCATTCTGGAGAGAGAAAGTAACGAGCACGAAGAGAGAATAAGCTAGGGTTTCATTTCAAGGCAAGGATTCGGGAAAATCTTCCCCAAAGGAAGATCTCTTCTACACAAGGAAGGATTCAAGCATCTTCATGATGGTTTTTATTCTTTCTCCTTGTGTTTTTCCCTCTTCTAGCTTGGATTAGTTTCCCTTTTCATTTGGGTAGTTGTGAACCCTAACTTGTACCATGTGATTGATTGTATGGAATGATTGTCTATGTGTCGGTGTGGTTTAATACGAATTTAGAGGTATTTTCATGGAAGATTGTGTTGTGTGTTTGCCTATCAATCTATTTTCAATTCTAACCTAGGTAGAGAGAAACCCCCTTTTGTTAAAGAGGCTTGTTAAGCAAGGTTTTCTTAGGCAAATCCTGTCTCTTTCCTAGGTTAATGTAGGGCATCCCTCCTTGTTTGTTTGTGTTTGCACCTAGGTTGATTGTGTTTTGGCCTTCTGAATTTCGATTCGAGAGTGAAGGTTTGGTAGTCCCTAGTCGATTAGGCAAAGAGAGCTACCTTGGTAGCTTAATCCGAATTCCTTGGCCTACCAGCTACACTTCACTTACATTTCTCAATCACATCCTCCATACATTTTCAATATTTTCGACAAGTCATGGTAGCGAGTTAGAGAGAGCTACACCCGGGTGAATCCTTCTCATTTAAGAGTCAAAACCAATTGCTTTTACAATTGCTTTAATCGTAGAACGTAGTTTTCATTCAAACAACCAATCGCTGGATAATGTTTCAAACAATCGAACTATGGGTACATGGACCGGCCCGTGTTGATGTTTAAACAAACTTGCCCTATATTGCACCAAATTAAGGTTTATACTTGGGCCTTAATTGGGAGTTTTATTGTGATATTCAGAATAAGTCAAGTTCTTGGCACCGTTGTTGGTGATCAAACTGTCTGTTATTTTGAAAAAATTGTTTGGTGTTAATCTAGCTTTTACTCTTCGTTTTTTTGTTTGAGAATCTTGCTTGTGTTAAACGAGTTGTGGTTCTTTTGAGTGTGTGTAGGGCGGTGTATGACCTTGAGAAATCCAACACCTTTGGCGCCACTGGACGAGAATTTCAACCGCACTCTCCGACTCTTGGCTCGTGAGAGGGAGCTAGCGTGACAAATGGTCTATTCGGTGACAGGTTTTCCCGTGACTAAGTATTAAACATGGGAAGCTTACCGTGACAAATGCAACATATAGTCACAGGATATCCAGTGACTAATCTAGATTTCCGTCACGGGATTTTGTCCAATATCAACGGGTATATGGGCACGGTGTACAACATGATGCAACGGGTTTTGTCTCAACGGACATGGGGAATCCCATGATGTTAGTTCACTAGTCACGGTAATAGCATGTGACAGAAGGTTGCTACTAGTCATATGCAATATGGAGATTGATATTAGCTAAAAGTAACCTGAAAGTCCGGTAATAGTTACGAGATGAAATTTCACTTGAAACAATGAAGAACCCTTATCAACATATACCATTCACCGGTCAATTTACAATTAAGAAATCTACTCTAGAAGAATTTTAGGCACATAAAACCTATCTAAATAATCACATCACAAAATACCCATGCTTCAACAAAATAAGCACTAGTAGTTTTTATCTTGATTCAAAAACAAAATTACCATTGCACTTGACAACGTGCAAGGTTGAACTACTCTTCTTGTGCTTCAACCTTCTTTCGTCCACACTCCTTGTACTATACTTTAGGATTACGAAACAAAGATTACAGAATTTAGATTCATAATCAATACTACAAATGTATCAAAGCAACATTACCAATATCACATTCATACTTATAATTATACATAAAGGACTGAGTAATGTTCTATAATTGAATTAGGAATCTGTATAGTTATCCCACACTACCAAAGTTAAAGAGAGTTGTAAATATGCTTTAATAAACACCAACAGTTAGTTAAAAAGTGTTCTATAGCTACTTTCATAAGCATAATCTCACTATGCAACAACAAAAACAGCAGCTTAATCGTAGGGAAAACCATACAAGCAGTAGCACAAATAGAATTCAGCAGCAATTACAATTTATCTATTTGGTTCTAGACTTCATTTATTTGACAGACAAGAAGCTAGTCAACTACTTCTACCAACGGAAAGAAGCCTCCTATCTCAATGAGAGAAACAGTCGAACAATTGTAGTAAAAAGCCAGGAATCTAGTGTTTAAAGCTGCTTTCATAAGCAACATCCGTCTCCAAATAATAACGAAAACATTAGCTCAATCATAGTGAGCACGATACAAGCAATATCAGAAACAGAATTTGGTTTTAGGATTCTTATACAATGACATACAACAAGCACCTACTCGTACCAACGCTAAGCACCCTACAATCAACATCTTTCTAAAAAACCAATAAAACAAATCAATCATAGCAAAAATCATAGGAGCAATACCGAAAACAGAATTCAACAGCAATAAGAGGTTGTGTATTTGGTTCTGGGATTTTTTATGACATACAAGAAGCAACTGTAAGCCCAATTCCCATATGGATCACTAGGGAATAATTGCGGCCCAAGTGTAATTATCACTTAATTGTTTAATATATAAGGTAAGTCATATATTTGTTAGGTTAATGAAAAAGGTAATTTCCTAATATACCCTGATGGTGGGTCTATATAAAGAAACTCTAGGATTGGTCCTCTCTCAACCCATTACGTAGAATTTCTTAGCCGTCGTAGAAATCTCTAAACCTAAAACCTAAAGGGGTCAAGAGGGAGAAACTCAATTCCGGTGATTACTACTCAAGCCGCCGCCGCCGCGAACGTCATGGATCAAGGTAGGTTTCCTTGATCTATTACCAATTCGTGAAATCATCTAATCCTAAGATCCATGCTATTATGATTTTGTTTACATGTGGTATCAGAGCCTTAGGGTTTATATGAATGGATGATTTTCGATTATGTATTATGCTCGATTAGTCTCCACTGCGTTTATATCAATCTCTTATGCATGATTAAAGCTTGTTGATGCTTCTGATTCATCATCTATTTATTCTATTGAGTCCAAGCTTTAGAGATTTGTACACAACTGTATTTAACTTCTTTGCGGTTGGTCTTCTGTCTGTCGAGCAATTATTCGCCGTTTATCAAGAACATATATATGTGCAGTGCATGTATGTTTATGCTTACATGATATATTGATATGTTTGTTTCCTCAATTATAATGAATTGCGATGACAATATCTTGCCTTTATTTCCTTTTCAACTAAAAATCATGATAAAAGCAATTAGGGATGATTACAATTGCTTTTGTATATGCGTTCAATTAATTAAGAGTCTGGGAAGGTTGATAAAGCCTTATGTTTGTCTCAATGATGATTAATATTGTTTTTCCATTAGTAACAGTATGCAATTGGAGACTCAAGTTTTGGGTCTGCGTATTTCAAAGCATTATTAACAACTCTCTTACCTTAAGTTAAAATTTTACATTTGATATCTACTTTATGATTAATTTGTTAGTCACCAAAGTGGCCAAATTAGAAGGTTTATAGATATCAAGTTGAATCAAGTTCAACTGCTAATGTTTATGTGATGCTTTTAAGTTGAAGTTCGTGATTATAAAATATTTTGAATCGCCCAAAGGTTGATTGCTCGTTTTATAATTCATGAACATTATCGTGGTAAATTGATATGCTTGGTTAGATATATTTAGTATATCCAAAGATTGCAAATATATCTAATTTGAGTATGTCTGTCACCAATTATATGATTATTTTGAGCATCAATTACGATTATTTATCGTATATATATTGTTGTTTTGCCCAAAGGTAGCACCAATATATATTTTATGTTTATGCTTCCAAATCTGTATTATAGTTTATGCTATTACCCAAAGCATTAATGTGTGAGTACATGTTATATATGTTTGCAGCATCTGTTCCTGTTTCTCTTCATTCGCAAGCCACGTCTGTTGTTAAGTTTAATGGTCTCAACTTCTCTGAATGGGCTGAAAAGGTTCAGTTTCACCTCGGTGTTCTGGATCTTGATTTGGCACTCTTAAGTGAGAAACTTGCTGCTCTTACTGATGCTAGCAGTGCTGAGGAGAAGTC